GACACTGTAAGGTGAACTTGGTGCACCTGGGGGATGTCCATGCGCCAGACACTGCAAGGTCGACTTGGTGTATCTGAGGTGTGTCCATGCGCCGGACACCGCAAGGTAGCAGTGTCGTGGTCGACTACACTTCCTTGGAAAGGTAAAAACCATAAATTAGTAGTCTACCAGCCATGCATGACAACTTCTCTTCCAAGTGGTGCAAACCAGAAAACTGAGACCGTGAGGAACGACTCTAACGGACATGAGAGTAGGAGGTAGACATCGATACAAGTGGAGAGATACTATTAGGAGACGAACGAATTAGCTGTCTGTTAGAATGTAAAACAAGAGCGAGAAACAGTGTTTCAGAACCAATACAGGAAACTTTCACTGCGGTGTTGTAAAGGACCCTTTCCCACGCCTTCAGGTGTATTGGACATATAGGGCTCGAGCTATATACATTATAGGCTAATCAACACTTGATGGGTGATGTGAATCAGCACTTGATGGGTGATGTGAATCAGCACTTGATGGGTGATGTGAATCAGCACTTGATGGGTGATGTGAATCAGCACTTGATGGGTGATGTGAATCGGCACTTGATGGGTGATGTGAATCAGCACTTGATGGGTGATGTGAATCAGCACTTGATGGGTGATGTGGTCTGAGTCATACCTCCCAGGACTTCAACCTGGTACCCATTTCAGGCTGGGTCGACCTGGAAGCCAAAGTCATTTTGAAGAACTTCCGGCTTCGTCAGGATCTGAACTCGCGACCTTCGGATCGGCAGGCGAGAGTCTAGTCTCTACACCACAGCGGACACACTAGACAACCCAAAAATCTTAACCTATAGTGATCATGCCGGGAATCGAACCTATCACTTCCCAATGACGAAAGCGCCTAGCTGCAGGAACAAGTGTACTAAGACGCATGACCAACTAGGCACCCATCGTAATTCTCCAGAACACTATAAATGTGAACGTCGAAGTCTGAGACACTGATATTCCCAGCCGATCCTGATAACGTTAATTAAACTTATCTTTATCTTGACATAGGTCATCAAATCTCTCTCCTTGGGCTACTATGGAAATTCTTGGCCTTCTACACACAAGGCACATGTAAATTAGTGCTATTTAACCAAAGTTTACTCAGGGGCCTAAATTCTGAAATTGGGGATCGTCACGGAGAGAGATCCAAGCCCTAGCAGATAAAGATAATTCATTCAACTCGCAATAATGCGCGGACCTCTCGCTAGAGCTCCGCGGGCCAGATTTGGCCCATGGACCGCCAGCTAAATCGTCCTGTCCTACCTCGCTAAACGGTGAGCATTGTAGAGACCCCAAAAAACCCACAGGCTTGATCCTTTTGTCATTAAACACACACACACACACACACACACACGCACAGACACACACGAGCTTTTTCTCGACTGAGCTGCGAACTGGTCAGGTGGCTTGTCTTTCAGCAACAAACATGTGGCAGTCTTAGACTATACGCTCAACATGTGCAGGAGCCACGTTTGTAGGGCCACAAGTCCTTACTTCGTACACCGTAATAACAGTGATAAGACGGAAAACCCAATGGGATGGACTTCAGCCTCTCGAAAAACGACACGAGAGTGCTGTGCCGAAGCAAAGCAAAAGTAAATGACCCTTTTCCACGAATTTAAGACATATTGGGCACATACGACAAGACCTATATTTTATATGCCCATTCGGCAGTCGGCAGATGATGTGGTCAACATCACGCCGGTCGCCTTTACTACCCAGGACTAAGTCTGGCACCCACACAAGGCTGGGTCAACATGAAAGCCGTCATACGGCTCCAACAGAACCTCAACCCACGACCTTCGGATCCGCAGGCAGGCGTCTATCTGCTTCACCACGACGGCTCTCAGAGCTGTGTAGAGAGAAAGAAGAAATGAGCCAGATCCACAAAGAGCTGGATACATAATCCGGTTGGATGAGCAGGTCTCAAACATCACGTTCACCCCATTTGTCTGTCAGATGTGGGAGGCACATGCGGTGATATAGGACAGAGGACGCTAAGAACATTCTCACTTCCACCAACGTTCAAATGTTGGCAAGACCACAACCAAAAGAGAAAAGCCAGCAGTTTCCCCCAAGAAAATTCAATTCTACCCGAGGAGTTTAGTGAGCTGATCAATAAGAAGACGCGCGAGGTAATTGAGTCTCCACTCGTTTACCAAATTTGTACAGCCTGGCCAGCCGATTGCCAACAATAAGAAATGCTGTGCTGACGCCACACTTGCGTAGACAACACAATCAACAAATTGCTCCACAGAGACGGGCTTCAGAAAGCATCCATTGGCGTTGTTTGTTGAACACCCAGGCAGGCGATCTCTCTGTGTGGTTTTTGTCGCCGCGGCTACCCCCCGGGTGTTGACTGGCAGCGGGGAGGAGGGGTCCAGGGCAGGAGAAGACGGAGGCGGGAGAAAATAGAATTTGGAAATGTGATTGTAAAATCGATTCTCTTGAAGGCTGGCTGGTTTGAGATCCGGCTGTGTAGAGCTACCACCTACTGGAGTTGTATGGTAGTGGTTAGAAGCCTGGTTTCCCCACTGACTTCTCCAAGCTTATATGGGGAATGTTAGACAACACATGCACACAACCACAGAAAACATCTATATCTGGACAACTTTACACAATGGGAAAGGGATAATAATATGGCAGCTTTTAAAGGGAAAGGAAATGATAGGGAAGAGAAAAAGTTGGTAAGAAAGTACAAACAGTTTATTTTAGCTTAACAAAATCGATCACAATAAACAAACAAAGGACGTTGCGGCGATTAGCCTTCATCAGCACATAAAGAACAACACAGTACACATACACAAATATGCTCTAACTATGAAGTGACTACATAGGACTCTAATGTACAAAATAAATGATACCCATCTGTGTCACTGGCGAAAAACGTCGTCCAAGAGGATGTCAAGGACAGGTATTAGCCTATATATCACCAACGCGCAGACGGGGAGCGAGAAACGGGGTCAGTATACCTAGGAAATGGGCGGAGTAGACGCCAACAGAGACAACAGCGTACACTGAGTGTTTAAAGGGGGAGGGAGGGGTTTGTCAATAAGGCGTAACCAGGGTTGGGTCGTGGGGATGACATTGGTCCTCATCCACATGGAAAAAAAGTGGTGCCTGTGCTAGCGAACAAATACCAACAGACAGGCAGGCAGGTAGACAGGCATGCTGACAGACAGACAGACGGATGGATGGATGGATGGATAGAGAGACAGACAGACAGACAGACAGATAGATAGCTAGATAGATAGATAGATAGATAGATAGATAGATAGATAGATAGATAGATAGATAGATAGATAGATAGATAGATAGATAGATAGATAGATATAGATAGATAGATAGATAGATAGATAGATAGATGGATAGATAATAGATAGATAGATAGATAGATAGATAGATAGATAGATAGATAGATAGATAGATAGATAGATAGATAGATAGATAGATAGATAGATAGATAGATAGATAGATAGATAGATAGATAGATAGATAGATAGATAGATAGATAGATAGATAGATAGATAGATAGATAGATAGATAGATAGATAGATAGATAGATAGATAGATAGATAGATAGATAGATAGATAGATAGATAGATAGATAGATAGATAGATAGATAGATAGATAGATAGATAGATAGATAGACATAGGATGGATAGGATAGATAGATAGATGGATGGAGTAATAGATAGATGGATGTAGTGATAGATGGATGGATAGATAGATATTTGTAATAATATGACAGGACGGGCTAGAGTGTCAAACAACCAGTGTCTGCTCCAGACACTGAATCAAAGCGACGAGCAGATGACAGGGGGAGGATGATAAGAAGACGAAGAAGCAAACGAGTATGAGGAGAAAGAAAAAGAAGACGGAGAAGCGAAAGAGTATGAGGAGAAAACGGGAAAACATGAGGACAAAGAAGGAGAAGACGGGGATGGACGGAGAGAAACAAGAATTAAAAGAAGATAAAGAAGAAGACATGAAATAAATACCGGATAGCTTTGTCAAACAGCTTGACAGGAACAAGAATATTGACCTGGTACCTGATCCATGTCAGATGGCAAACCATAACCTCCGATGTTTATCGGCACGGCTCGGAATAATGATAATGTACCTAGTCAATGGCAATAGGCAGACTATGTTAAATCGAGCCGACATTGCCACGCTTGAAACACTGACCCGTCCGCGATGAGACAGATACAAATGTGGCCGTTTCTATGCATTTAGATGAGATACTTTTCTAGTAGCGTCTAAATGCCACCGTTTTCTGTTTGTGAAGTTAATTATCGCGTGTCTCTCTCTCTGGTCTTTTTACAGACAGAATTCACAATTAAACCACAACAGATATGGCATCGGGGAGAGGCATCAGTGGCTAAGTGTGCTGGTCTATTTTTACTTACCAAAGACAATCTCTTCCTGTCCTGATACAGCAGCTATGTGAAACTTGCAAAGGTGTTCAACTATTTCGTTTACTCCTGGTGTTCATTCAGACAGTATGATTCATTTAGCGAATCTCTCTCTCTCACACACACACACTACTCTCTTCCCCCCCCCCCCCCCCACTACTCTCTCTCTCTCCCTTTCTACAGGAGCCGGGGCAGTGTAGTGGCAAGACGTTCGCATGCCGACTAGAATGTACAGGATTCAAATTTGCATTGAATCGAATTTTGAATTTTTGCAACATTGATCTTGACTTACTTTGAGGCCGCCCGCACCTTTTTCCCTTTTAAAAACCATACTAGTTGCCCCATCGCTATAATTTTGTATGCGGGCTAAACGATATAGATTCAATCCCATGATCGACTATGTCTGAGTGATCATCGACTATGTCTGAGTGATAATCGACTATGAGTGAGTGATCATTGACTATGTCAGAGTGATCATCGACTATGTCTGAGTGATCATCGACTATGTCTGAGTGATCGTCGACTATGAGTGAGTGATCATTGACTATGTCTGAGTTATTGATCATTGACTATGTCTAAGTGATCATTGACTATGTCTAAGTGATCATCGACTATGTCAGAGTGATCATCGACTATGTCTGAGTGATCATCGACTATATATGAGTGATCACTGACTATGTCTGAGTGATCATCGACTATGTCTGAGTGATCATCGACTATGTCTGAGTGATCATCGACTATGTCAGAGTAATCATCGACTATGTCTAAGTGATCATCGACTAATTCTGAGTGATCATCGACTATGTCAGAGTGATCATCGACTATGTCTGAGTAATCATCGACTATGTCTGAGTGATCATCGACTAATTCTGAGTGATCATCGACTATGTCTGAGTGATCATCGACTATGTCTGAGTGATCATCGACTATGCTGTGTGAACATCGACTATGTCTGAGTGAACATCGACTATGTCTGAGTGATCATCGACTATGTCTGAGTAATCATCGACTATGTCTAAGCGATCAGTCTGCAAACAGCCCGGTCAGCCATCATCCATGACCGAACCATTCCCAGCTTCCTGACAATTACTGTATTAGCTTGCACGTGCACAATGATAAAGAAACAGAGAAAAAAATGAGAGGGATAAAGGGAAGTGGAAAAGAATAAAAAAAAAGAAAGAAAGAAAGAAGACAGAGAGAGATCCAGATTCGTATACACACACACACACATATATATATATATATATATATATATATATATATATATATATATATATATACATATAGAGAGAGAGAGAGAGAGAGAGAGAGAGAGAGAGAGAGAGAGAGAGAGAGAGAGAGAATGGGTTAAACTGAAAGTAACCAGCTCAAAACAAAACCTTTCTAAAAACCGTCTCTCAAGCCACCCCCCTATCTGCACAACATGTATACCGGACAAACACTGACCATTTATGTGTTTCTGTAGGAATGTCTTCCTAACCGTGTCATCTAGCCTAGCCAGCGCCCCCCCCCTCCCTCCCCCACAATGGAACGATCCAGGAATCAACTCACCATGACCAACAGAGACGCGCACACACACAGAAGTTGTCATGTGGAAGATATACCTGACTGCATTCACAGTTGTGGCGTGTCCACTAACCATATAACTGTAGGGGAGGTTTGGTGCTCTCTTTGACACGCTTCAAGAGCTGCATGGACAACAATACGCATAAGAGATAACACAAAACAGGCAACACTCTCAAACCATTGAGCTAAAGTACTATGACATGGCAATTCTGTCAAACCCATTGAGCTAAGGTACTATAACATGGCAATTCTGTCAAAGCCACTGAGCTAAAGTACTATAACTTAGAATTCTCTGTCAAAACCATTGAGCTAAAGCACTGTAATATGGCAATTCTGTCAAAACCATTGACATAAAGTACTATAGCATGACAACTGTCTCTCAAAACCACTGAGCTAAAGTACTATAACATATCATTTCTCTTTCTCAAAACCACTGAGCTAAAGTACTATAATATGGCAATTCTCTCAAAACCATTGAGCTTAAGTACTATAACAAATTATTCATCTCTTTCTTTAACAGTATTATAGTGTTGTGTTATGTAATAACAATCGACGTCACTGCACACTGGGCATTCCCATGCGTGCTCAGTCCTTCGATGCAGCAGCCACTCCAAGGTACTTTTACTAATTGTTTCCATGAGAAGTTGGTTATATTGTCTCCTATCTCGGCCTCGAACGCGGCATAGACGTGCTTCCCCATGCTTTACTACATGTCACGCAATCGTGTTAGTGTCAGAGATTTGTCCGTATCCACTAGCCCAGTCTGTATAGTTTTGATATCTGCTCTGTCCATGCTTCTTCCCACATGCGTTGGTGCACTGCTTGCCAGTTGGTCCGCTCGCTCATTTCCCTTTACCCCCGCATGATCAGGTGTGTAGATCCAGGTGAGGGAGATTAAGTGCAATTTTCCGATGCTTTCTACCCATTTAGAGCGCAATTTGCCTGTTGCTATTTTCTGAAGCATGTTAAAGGAGTCTAATAATACAATGAATGCTTCTGTGTCGGTTTGCTCCGATGCCCATGCTAGTGCGCTAGAAGCAGCGGATATCTGCGTGGTGATGCTTAAAGTGGTTGCCTAGTAAGAGCCGCTGTCCTCTTGTATTGTTTTCCTTATTCTCTGTGCTGTGTATGCCCATGCTGACCTTGACCCGCGCTTTACGGATCCATCTGTGTAGACGATGATATCTTCTGAGTGTGAATGCTGATATATCAGTGATGACCTCTGTGTTGATTATAATAACGCAGGTTGCACTTCAAGTGAAAACTATTATAAAAACAGCAAAATCAAAATACTAAAAACATCCCCAAACTCGCAAGTGTCATCAGTACAACAAACCAGGCATGACATCAAATAGTACAACAAATATCCATCCAGTGACATCAAACATCACAGCCAACATTCATCAAATGACAGCGGCTACTATAAAGAAAACGAGCCTCTCAGAACGTCAAGAACTATCAAATAAACTAAACACCATCTTATCCTGTCATAGAACTGCAGCAAGCCAACATCTTATACTATAACAGTACTGCAACAAGCCAACACCTTATTCTGCCACAGTACTGCGACAAACCACCATCTTATTCCGGCACAGTACTACAACATGCCAACACCTTATCCTGCCAAAGTACCTACCAACTTATCATGTCACAGTACTGCAACAAACCACCAACCTTCCCACTGGGAAAGGGTCAGGAAGGAAAACTGTTTAACAAACGCCACCCACAACCTTCTTCTTCTTTCTTCTTCGGTTTCGAATGCTCAGATCAGACCATCAGGCGGGTTGCTTCTATGAACTCACATGTCAGCAGCAGGTCCTTCGTGGTTCCTCATAGCTTGCTCTGCACACTTTGCTCTTGAGGCCATGTGTCTTTTCGAAGTTGTAGGTAGAGTAGGCAGGTCTGCAGAATGTGCTCAGGTGTTTGTGGTCCTGTCTGACAGGCATATTATGGGGACTGTACAATCTTTATTTTATGCATGTGGTAGTTGAGCCTGAAGTGTCCTGTTCGTAGACGGAAAATTGGTGTATGTTGCTTTCTTTTGTGCCTGCTGATGGAGTCTTGTGAATGTTTACTATTAGTTTGTTCTCTCCATAATTCCTTGTACTTTCCTTTGATATGTGTTCTGATTTATGATAATAACAATGGATGGGTAATTTTTTCTCCTGTGTTCCATTTTTAGCAAGTCTGTCTGCTAACTCATTTCCTGGTATGCCTCAATGAGCCGGAATCCACCGGAGAACGATTGGATTGTTTTCTGTGAGTCTGTTTAGCTGGCGGGTCAGTTCTCTCTCCATGTTGTCTCGTGGATCCCTCTCAGTCGCCTGGAGAACTGATATGCAGTCACAAAGGAAAACAATTTTGTTGTTTTTAATTTTTCTTTCCTCAAGCACTTTGGCTGAATCAATAATTGCTAGCTGCTCTGCTCTGAAGTTTGTGTTTATTGAGTCTTCCAGAGGCGCATGGTGTTTCTACTGTTGTCCCATCTTGTAGCATGATTCAGCTCCTCCCTTGTTGTGTTTTTTTTTTCCCCTGCTCCCTCCAATGATCAATCGGTGTATACGTTTTTTAACCACTTAGTTTTGGATAACAGTTGTAGACATGTTCGAGGGTCTTTGCATGCAGTACTATGTCACATTCTTCAGCCTTTCTGTCTATGCCTCGGATTATTGTTGTGATTGTATAATTATGCTGAATGTCTTATCTGTATGCCTGGATCATTTCCCATGCCGAAGGATCTTTAGAAAGAATGTCACTGTTGTTTTTTTTTTTTTCTGCGTAGCACAACTTTGATAGATGGCGAAAGCTTTGTCTTTTTAGCAGGTTTTTAGTTAAGTTCTTCGCTATTCTGTGCATGGAGCTGTTCATGCGTTTAATTTTTTCTGTTAGGGTAAGCACCCTTTCATCCCGTCGAAGGCTCAAGCTCTGGAGGTCAGAATGCTGTGGTCCACAGACTATCTTCACCTCCAGCAGGAAAACAAAATGAAAAGGTTTTCATTTCCATGTTGGAGACATTCAGCCTAAAGTCCGGTCTCAAATTTTGAAAGGCCAACAGGCGCTAGATCAGCGGTTCTCAACCTGTGGGTCGCGGCCCTTTTGTTGGTAGCACGCCCTGTCATAGGGGTCGCCAAAAACCATGGCAAAACAAATATTCATTGAAGTTATGAAGTAGCAACGAAATTAACTGTATGAATCGGAGTCGCAGGAACTGTATTAAAGGGTCGCCGCATTGGGGAGGGTTGACAGCTACTGCTCTAAGTCGATGCCAACACACTCTCATATTTACTTGCTGGAACATTCCAGGTATCCATCTTTGGTCTTGGTCAACCAGCGAGACAAACGGAAGCCGCTGTGGTGTAGCGGCTAGACGCTCGCCTGCCGATCCGTTGGTGTGGGTTCAAATCTTCCAAGTGCTGGATTTTTTTTTTCTTGCAAATATGGCCACGGCTGCTAGGTCGACCCGGCCTTAAATGGACATCAGGTGAAGTTTTGGGAGGGGGAGGGGGGAGGCGGCCGGCGTGATCTTGACATCACTGGTCTACAAAAAAATGAATCAAGACGCACATGCCCAATGTGCCAGTAGTGTAAAGTTTATTTTTTAAAGGCCTCCACAGCAGCGGTTCTCAAACTATCTTCATCGTGGCACCCTTGTCGGGCACCCCTAAAAAAATTCACGGCTCATCTACCCTTAAAGTAGTTTCTAAAGAAAAAAAAAACAGTAACAATTTAATGCTTAGTTGTTTTTAATGTGATGACTGAAATTGTTTGGATGAATTTATTATTTTCTTTATGTTTATGAGGAGACATTCAGCCTAAAACATTCAGTCAATTGTACTCTCAAATCACTTGAAGGTTGCTCCTGTATCTGTGTGTGTTTGTGAGGTTTTTTTTTTTTTTTTTTTTACGTAATCGTACGTTGAGAATGCACATCAGCCTTGACAATAGCATTGTCTTCTGAATACACCTTCATCTAGAACTCCTCTTGGCTTCCTTCATGGTATTTCTGTTTTAAACTGCTGTCTTCACTGACCTCATTCAGGTTTAGAAAAATTCTTGATTATTGCCACGACACCCCTGCGCCCTGTTTGAGAGCCGCTGCTATACAGGAATGTGAACGTGATCACTGGGCCAGCAAGCAAACTACTGTGCCAAAGAATCTTGTGTTTTCACCATCTTCCTCTCTTCCTTCAGTGACATCGAACAGTTGGCAGTATTCACCCTCACATTCACAATATCAACCTAAAAGTTACGGCCATTGACTGCACAGACCAAATGAAAAAAACATGTCAACAGAATATATGGAAACAGAGATACATCGCATGCGAAATTATTAAAGGCCACAAAACATCCGAACAGTCAA